AGTATGAGTTATAAAGAAGTACCACATAGACTAGACATAGACCAAGTGATGACCATATAAGTATGAAAGACCCATAAACCTGCAGCCTTAAGGTTTTGGGTTGAGATGTGGTGTCGGCCCGCTTATTATGGTTTGTCATTTGGCCCATTGGTGGATGTACCCTTTGCAAAGGGTTTCGGGCTCCCTCGTTCCATGCCCAACAGTGGTATCAGAGCCAACGATCTGGGCCAAGTGTTTGGAAGGCCTCTGCAGAAGGCTAGTGTGACCCTAATATTTGAAAGAGAAAAAAAAAAAAAGACTTCCGCAGAAGTTGACCTTAGAGTAAGAATGATATTGGGCCTCACACTTGAGGGAAGATGTTGGAAATAATCAAGTATGAGTTATAAAGAAGTACCACATAGACTAGACATAGACCAAGTGATGACCATATAAGTATGAAAGACCCATAAACCTGCAGCCTTAAGGTTTTGGGTTGAGATGTGGTGTCGGCCCGCTTATTATGGTTTGTCATTTGGCCCATTGGTGGATGTATCCTTTGCAAAGGGTTTCGGGCTCCCTCGTTCCATGCCAATAGGGTTTATGGGTCTTTTGCAAAAAGACCCATAAACCTTGTTGGGATATCAAGTGTGATGAGTCCCACATTGGTTGGTAATGAGCTAAGTGAAGAGTATATAAGTGAAAGGACCCATGAACCCAATGCCTTAAGGTCTTGGGTTGAGACATGGTGTCAGATCCACTTGCTACGGTTGGTGTAGCCTTAGCTCATTGGTGGTGGTTCCCCGCCACGGGCTTCCCTTAGACCCGCTTGACATTGGAGTTTGAGGGAACGAATTCCTAACAGTGGTATCAGAGCCGGATTGGGCTCGAGCTAGCCTAGTGATTGGCTAGGAGGCGGGTCGTGTACTTTACGCTTCGGGTACTCGGTTGAGGGGGAGCATACCAATGGTGGGTTTCACACTTGAGGGGGAGATTGTTGGGATATCAAGTGTGATGAGTCCCACATTGGTTGGTAATGAGCTAAGTGAAGAGTATATAAGTGAAAGGACCCATGAACCCAATGCCTTAAGGTCTTGGGTTGAGACATGGTGTCGGATCCACTTGCTACGGTTGGTGTAGCCTTAGCTCATTGGTGGTGGTTCCCCGCCACGGGCTTCCCTTAGACCCGCTTGACATTGGAGTTTGAGGGAACGAATTTCCTAACAGCAACTCCAATGAATATAATCTGCATAAGCAGCCAAAGCGTCCTTCCTCGTAGAATCGAGCTACCTGAGAATCCACGAAAAATAGAAGGTATTACTGCAGGATATGTTTCCAAATTTATACCTGTCAAAAAACAATAAAATCCATGTACAATACCTGGTGGCAAGTTCCACAGCAAATCGTGTGAACCACACAAGGCAAAAAGTTTTTGTGGAAATCATTTCAATTCAGACCAACTATATGTTTCTATGCAATGATGTGTTTCCAGATCAATTCGAGTTTTTCACACAACCAAAGCTAGAGCTGGGCGTATTTTCGTCTGAAACATGGCTGATTACTTTCTCGCCTCCCAGAAAAAAATAATACCATGCCATCGATGGCTTTCTCCATTGAGAATTGACAGTGTAATACAAAATGTTGGGGAAAAAATTTTGTTGGAATTTTTTTCACTTCCCTCCTACCAAATATGGGAAATTTATTTTTCCCACCTCACTTTCCCAAGATTCCCAAAATAATCCATATACCAAACATCCCCTATTGTAATTAATTCTGCTAGATTTGAATTAGATTAATTGAATAATCGGTGAAGCAAGGGAGAAATTAAAAAGAATATTGAGTTCATCGGCATAGAGGTTCTCTTGGCCTAATTTAGGGGTTTGTTACAAAATAAGCCTTAGTCAGGCTAAACTTTTGAAATAGTCATGTCTTCAAAAAAATTATATTAGTTAAATATGTTAGGTATAAGTTTTATATTTGAGAAATAAGATAGACTTATTTAAAATAAGAAGTGTGATCAGACCCGTGTTCATCCTTAACCAAAAGAAAATACAAGAAAAACAACTAAGATGTTTTCTACTAATCTATATAACTAAAACAAATTTGTGAAGGATAAAATAAAAAATACTACCTGAACATATTTTTTGTTCGTTTATTTTAAAAAACGGAAAGTTGTTTTTTTGCTTAAAAAAAATAAAAAGTGAATAACAAGCCAGGGGCTATTTGTAACTGTAAACAATTCTGGCTCTGAGAGAACGCGTCTCCTTTTCATAGTAATTCATAATTTTGTTTCTTCCAGCTGAGTTTCATTTCTTGCAAACCTATTTGTTGTTCGTTGTATGAGAGAGAGAGAGAGGGGAACATTATCTTCTTTGGTCAAGAAAGACCAGTTCAATACATAGGTAAAATGAAATAAAAAAAAAAAAAAATTGTTTTAGTCTCTAGACTGGACATGCTTATTACATAAGTTAAGTTTTTTTTTTTTTTTTTTTTTTAACTAATTTAGTTGAAAAGCTAGATCTTAGGTCATCAAAAAGATATTTTAATTAAACCTGACTAGCCGATTTAAGTAAGTGTGTCAGTGTGTATTATTATTATTATTATTATTATGTCTTAAGATTATATATTTATTCATCCATTTTTTTGGTATAAATTTATTCATCCGTTTAAAGACTTAGTTTCATTTAGGGGTATTCATCAACCGATTCAAACCGCAGTAACCGAACCGAAAAACTGATAACCGAATAAACTGAAAATCGAAAAATCGAAAACCGAATAATTGGATTGGATCGAATTTTGGATGGGTTGATGAAAATCGATCCAATCCAAACTGATCCAATATATTAATTTCCCTCTACCTACTTGGGTCTTTCCCTAATCATAGCCTAAAAATTTCTAAATCCAAGACCCATTAACTCATCAACTAAACTCAAGAAAAAATTAAGTCACATATCTTATTAACAAAATCTTATCTTTGTAGAGCTTCATATCTCATTGCCAAAAAAAAAAAACTATATTATAGTTTACTAATGCTTTTGTATTTCAATTTTTTTTTTTACAAAGCCAATATATATAAAAGATGTTATTTGCACAATAATCATGAAATAAATTTTAGAATTTTCAAAAAATCGAAAATTGATCCAATCCAAACCGAAAAAAATTGGATTGGATCGGATCGGATTTGAAAAAAAAATCCAAACCGAATGGATTATTATATGATAAAATCGAAGGGATTGGATCGGATGATTTTTCTTCCAAAATCGATTCAATCCAGACCGCGAACACCTCTAATTTCATTGGCTTAGAAAACAATTAGCTTATCTAGAAGTAAACTTCATATTAGCCTATATGTATTGTTATAAAATAGATATTACGCTAAGCTTTAAAAAAAAAAAAAAAAAAGTCAGGCCTTAAAACACAAGACTTGAGCTTGTTTGGATATTCTCTTTTTTAAGTTAGAAGTTACTTTTGAGCTAAAGTTAAAAATAAAAAAATCTAAAAAAAAAACCTAAAAACTATTTGATGATTACATAAAAAATTTAGTTTAAAAAACACATAATTCAAAAAAAGCACATAATTCAAGAAAAGCTGATAAGAACATAAAAAAAATTTCTCCTAAGAACTTTTGACTTTTGATTTTTTTATTATATAAAAAATATTTTTATTATAAGAGCTTTTCTCAAAACTTATTCGACCTTACTTCTATTTATAGAAAAAAGAAAAGCTAAAAATAAGAAAATTCAGACACTAGATAAGGTAAACAAATCAAGCTTTGGCTTTGTATTTGATAAACAGACCAGACTTATTTAACGCAAGACCTAGCTTGACTTGATCGGACTTCACCTCTAATATGGAGAAAGAAAGAAAAAAAGACAAGCAAAACAACTAAGATGTTCCATAAAATTATTATGCTCCTAAAACAAATTTGAGAGGGAAAAAAAAACCTACTACTCAGAGCATTTTTTTTATTCGTTTGTTTTAAAAATGGAAAACTGTTTTTTATTTAAAAAAAAAGTAACTAACAAAGCTGAAAATGGATCCTTTTATTAGTTTATATGTTATTTAATTATTAATAATCAAATCAATAATGATGGCCGTGTAACTTTCTATTCTTATATTTATTTTTTGAGTAAAGCCCTTTTTGGATCCCTAATAAAAAATATAGTTTCTACTTTTGTCCCTGACAAAAAAAAAAAAGAGTTAATTTTTGATCCCTCTATAATTCTAATTCTTTGAAAGTGTGATCCTTTAAAAATTCACTAAAGATCCAATTTAGTCCTTAAAAAAGGATTAATATAGATATTTCTTTTATAAGAGACGAAAATGATGACTGTATTTTTTTATTAAAGATCCAAAATAACTTTACTCTTATTTTTTTCTTTCATCCGTTATCACCGTAAATTTACTATTGTATGATTAGAATTCTGCACCTGATCATATTAATAAACATATGAAAGGATCCATTATTTACTAGAGCTGTTAGTTACTACAAACAACAATTCGTCGCTGGTTGTAAGAGAGAGAAGAACAGCTTCTTTTTTTGTCAACGAGAGAGGACCAGCTCAAATGACAACAACAAAAATTAACGGGAAACCCGCATTCTCTCTCACACCCGAATCCTTTGCCTCAAAAGCCGCATCACATGTTCGCCCTTTATAATTACCATTCTGTCCTTCCTTCTCTATCCTAATATTAAGAGGGGGCTATTTTCGTAATTTAAAAGTGCCATGCCACGCCACTGGCAAACCGCTTTGTAAGTAGGTTACAAGACACAACAACAACAACAACAAACACTTGACCTCACACGATTACTCCTGCGCTGTCCCTTCCTGTCTATGCACAATTACAAAAATTTATTATTAGTATTTAAACTTTGTTTGTTTCCTAAATTTCCCAAAAACACAACACTGATCTCAACCACCCTCTCTATTCTCCCCTGCTTGTCGCAGGGCGAGATCAATTATCATTTTCATTCCTTTCATCTTCCTCGTTCTCTTTCTCCATACACACGTACCCATTAGTTAATGGAGAAAAACGGTGAAAACTCAATCGTTATAAGCGTTGATCCAAAACCAACCACTGATCATGAAACAGTTAAAATCCCACGAAATCGCTCCCTTGAGAAGAGGAATGGATCCAAGAACATTTTCAAGATGGCGCTTGTCATGATGCGAGGTCGTAACCGGAAATCAAAAGTGCTCCCTGAAAATGATGATGATGATGATGAGTCTAGAAGCGTCTGGAAGAAGCTTGTGGGGTCCATGCGACCGTTGCATCTACAATCTGGAAGTCCTCGACACAATGGCGGCCAGACACCAAAAAAGATGAACACAACTGCACCGTCTGAAAGCGGTGACGATGGATTTGACTCTGCATCTGAGTATGCGTATTCTCCATCTGCTACCAGTAGCCGTTACGCTTCTGCCGTTGGGCTAAACGAAATGGTGCAGGATGAGGAGAACCAGAAGGATGAGGAGATTATTGTGAAGGAGGATAACGGTAATGGTGATGGTGATGACATGATTGATGCAAAGGCTGATGAGTTCATTGCTCAGTTTTATCAACAAATGAGGTTGCAGCGAATGGATACCATGGATCGTCGTTACAGAGAGATAAGTCTGAGATCCTTAGGCTTATGATTCGCTCCAACATCATGCTCTAAGCTGTTGTTCATTCGCATGTCTTATTGCACTGCATGCATGCGTGCTTGCATGGAAACGGGAAATCCTTCTGTTTGTTTGTTTGTTTGTTTTTTTTTTTTTTTTGTTTTTTTTCTGTTTCTATTTTTTCCGTAGAAAGACGGGGATTGTAAAAACATTATATTATTACCCAAAAATAAAAAATAATAATAAATCCCTGATAGGATTTCATGTTTAACTTCACTTAAACTTTTTATATACCAAAAAAAAAGATAATAATAATAAATAGTATACATACATAAAGTGTTGTACTTTTGAAAGAATTTTTTTTTTTATTGTTGGTGGGAAAGATTACTAAATGTATTATGTATACTGTTTGTTCATCTCTATTTCTCAGTTAATGCATACTATTTCTTCATCTCTACTTCTCCGTAGATTTATTTCTTTCATCTCTGCATCTTCCCAAATTCGCCCTCTTCATAAATGTATATTATTTCTTCATCTCTACTTCGCCATTTTATATCTGAATGCAGAAGTAAAGGTAATCTGTATTGTATGGCGGTATTATGATGTTGGGGAGAAGAATAAAGTTAAATTTGATACATATTTGTTTTTTGGGGAATGCATATACATTGTTATAGGAAAAAAAAATATTGTCCTGCGGAGACAATATTTTAAGAGAGAGAAAATAATTTTAAGAGAGAGAAAAAATAATGCACGGGTCCTACGATAAGTTGTCTCTGCACGAAAAACGAAAAAAATTCCTATAACGTTACCGATTGATTACTCTTGTTTTTTAGGTTAGTTTTATTTAAAATAAATTAGTTTTAAGAAATTGTCATGAGTTTGTACACCTTTTGACTTTTTTATTTTTGGTTTTAGATTATTATTTTGTGTGAATTCAATTTGATGATCTTTAGTTATTTGCTGAATGCATATCTTTTTAATCATCAATTGTTCGTGGATGGCAAGTTTGAGGGCTTGGTTAGTCTAGTATCTTTTTATTTAAAAATGATTCTTTTCAATATTGAGATGAGTGACAAGTAGGGGTATAAATGAGTTAGTTAGGCTCACCTACAGTGACCTATGACCTAGCCTATATCAGACCAGACTTGACCGATTATATATAGTCAAATAGAGGAGATTAGGCTTTTAAAAAACTTATTTAAAAAGTAGATCATAAGCGTTATTTTATACGTCGAGCTTATAAGCTTACAGACCGACCGATATTATATTACTTATTTTAAATAAAATAAATAAAATTATTATTTTATTAATTTTTAATATTAAAGTAATATCATTTTAATTATTTTTTAATTTTTGAATATTTAGTAAGCTTAACCAGGCTAAAAGGTCTAAGTCTAGGTTTTTATTTTTTAAATATAGATCAAAGAAGACTTATAATTTAGGCTTATATAAGGGTAACAAGTCACGTCAAGTCTAATGTATTTTACACAAATCTAGGTTATTTAAGTCAAAGTCTAATTTAGCCTAATTTATTTACACTCCTAGCGATAAGGGATTGGTTCTTTTTAAGTAATGTCATGAATTCGAGTATTCGTGAATATAAAAGAAATATATATCAATACAGTTTTATCTCCTTTCAATATGTCCACCCAATTTGAGTTAAAAATAGATATCAATCTTCGATGTTTGAAATCTTTGATAACTTTTTTTCTTGAAAATGGTTTCATTTTTTTGGATGCATTAATTTGGAGTTGTATTACAACTTGAAAAAATAACAGTAATTTTGACTACTTTCTTACTGGCTCCACCATATGTGCTAAGCTTAAATGGATTGTATGTACTTTTATCTTGAGATTTGAGACAATAAGATTTATCTCACTACAAGATCCAATGATTTATATGGCATTTTTTATCCCCTTCTTAGACTGGGAGGTGTTTCATTTTGAATATGAGACCAATACTGTTTTGAACATCGATCTAATTTAGTCCTAACTATACTTGCTTACGCTGAGTTGTGAAATCTAGCATCACAAGTAAAATTCATTTACATAGAAGTTCAATCATCAATTGGGTCCAACTTTTGTAATCAAATTAACTACTTTAATTCAATGGAAACTTAAAACCAACCAAGCTAAAAAATAAGGTTGTAGGAGATAAAACTATTTCTTATACACACATAAAAATATATGGGATTTATATTATTTTTTTCTCCCTTCTCTTCACATGACTCTACACATATTTTATGTGTGTAGAAAATAATCCTACAACAAGATACATCCAACCCAGAAAACAAATATATAATCGTGTTTAGCTGTACAATGAGCAAATATAATTAATTAAAAAGTGAAATTTGTCGAGATCAAATTTTTAACGGATAAATTAATGGCAATACTTTCATGGATGCCCCTTGATTCCTACAAATAGCATGATAAAGCCCAATATAATGCACGGAAAACAAGCCACAAAATAAAAAATCACTGAAAGAAAAAATATAGGATGAAAATAAAAAAATAAACTTATTGTGATGTGTTGACTGTTGAGTGTTGCAGATGTTGGTTGCCGCATAACGAATGAATGTTGAGACGTTAATATGGGTGGGTTAGTACCCATGGACGATCCGAGAACACGTATGTTTGATCCATCGGAGCCCATTCCGGATCGTGGTCTTAACCTTGCCCTCTACGGCGTAAACCTTATACTTTGCGATCCTCTTCCTCCTCTTTGTCTCCGGATCCCCGAAGCTCCAAGGCTTCACCACCGACGCCGCCCCACTGTGACTCGCCCGGGTCACCTCACCTGGAATCGGCGCTGGATCGGGTGTCCGAACCCGACCCGCGTAATTCTGACCACAACCGTAGCTTTTCCCGCTCACAATCTCGAAGCTCCTGTCCCCGCCGTACGGACGGTGGCTGGACCCGTAACCGTACCCGTCCATGGACCCTGTGGAGAAGGAAACCGGAGAGGTGTGGTGGTTACGGTTGAGGAGCTTTTTAAGTGAAGTTAGGGTTTCGAGAAGGAAATGAGGAAGTGTGTGTGTGCGTATATATAAATAGAAATATATATATATATATATAGTGAAACACGGAAACGCGTCTTTGGGGTGGAATGTGCAATGTTTTGATCTTAGTGAAGTGGTCTCTGATCTGGGAATCTAGGATCGTGCTTTCTCTTATTAAACTAATATGAAACCTTGTAATTTTTCTTTCTTTGAATTGAAAACTTGAAAGAATCTAGACTTTCAGAGAGGAATCAGTTTTTTTTTTCTTCTAAACTATATATATATTTCATGGGAGATAATTTTATTAAAGACGAGTATAGGATTAAGGCTTTGAATCTCTTCCAAAATAATACTAAAGAAAATCAAAATACATATATACTATTGCTCTCTCCTTTATTTGCTCAGCTCCCGTGCGCATAGATGAATCAATTTTCTAATGCTGCAAATTTGGGAAAGGCCTTGTGTTCCTGCAGTTGTATGGGAGGTAAGTAGGCCAAGTTTGGAGTAGCCAACTGGAAAGTGGAAAGTATGATCAATGATATCATGAGATGCAATGATAAGTTCAAATGGAGGATTTCGAGGGGAAAGAAAAGGGACAGCTAAAAGCTACTAATTGGTTAATATTCTATGATGACTGAATATTAATTTCTTCCAACTTTTTAATTAAATAGCAAAAAAAAAAGTTCATGGATTTGCATATTCTTTGCTTTGCACTAGAAATGAATTGCATTCATAATGTTCCGCACTTTTCCTGTCCACGTTGTTTCACAAAAGCTTTGTTGCTAATCATTGGTTCTCCTCACCCTTGAAAATTTGAAATAAAACCCTATAAACAAGGAAACAGTTTTTGCTGAGACCGACTTATTTATTGTGCCCTCTTTTCCTGAGAGTTTACTATCCAATCCAATTAGTTAATAATTTTTACCATTAATGAATAGTGAGTCAGTATAAACCCCACTATCTTACATGTTGACTTCATTGTCATTCTTTGTCCCGTTTCTTTCACATTCACTTATACGGCTTCATTGTTATCGCATGCCATGGCTATAGTCTATAGAAGGAACAGGTCCTGTCATCATTAAACCTATTAATGGTTGTTAAGCTTGTAAAAGCAACAGTTAATGAGTCAACTCAAACTCAAGTTGCCCCACCAAAAAAATGACACATCTTGCTTTTAGATTATAATTGCCAGTATTATTTAATCTTCTCCTTTTGCATTTATCACTACTAGGAGGCCTCTTCTGTCCCATTGATTTTTTTGCTGAAAAGATGCATATCAGGATGGATCGGAACTAAAATAATTACCCACCAGAAATCAATCTATACTAACCACTTGTTGGAAGGGGAAAGTGGTGAACTTACAATTAATCACTAGTACGTTGCATTTGGAAATCTATTTCGAATACAAAAATATTTGCACAAACCTGGATACATCTTCTATGTTGTTTCATCTATGGATGATAGAAAATCACTATGAAAAAGGGGGCTTTTTTATCCTTTTGCCCCTCATTAATTATTTAATAATCATTTTAACCCTTATTCAGAACTATCTACCAATCTATCCCTCTTTAATCGAACTATTCGTATGTTGTTCAATAGAAATATGGAATAAATAATTAATAAAATTAAAAGATATACTCGAATTCCAATTAAGAATTCGCCAGGACCCTTGGGAGTCGCCCTTCAAGTTAGAAATTTTTATTCATTTTACCAATTAATAACTCATACTCATATCTCAATAACTAAAATTTTGGAAATTGACAAGTTAAAGGAAACTTTTCAACTATTTAAATATTATTTAATGGACGAAAACGAGAAAATGTATAAGCCCAATCTACGCAGTAAGATCTTTTTTAATCCATTCCATTTGAATTGGTATTTTCTTCATCATATTTCTTGCGAAAAAGCGTTTACAATAATTAGTATCGGGCAATTTATTTGTGAAAATGTATGTATAGCTCAAATGAAAAATGGACCACACCAAAAACCCGGCCAAATTATAACTGTTCACATTGACTCTGTAGTAATAAGATCA